GGACACAGAATTGTTACTGAGGGACAGACACAGAATTGTTACTGAGGGACACAGAATTGTTACTGAGGGACACAGAATTGTTACTCAGGGACACAGAATTGTTACTCAGGGACACAGAATTGTTACTCAGGGACATACACAGAATTGTTACTGAGGGACACAGAATTGTTACTGAGGGACACAGAATTTGTTACTGAGGGACACAGAATGGTACTCAGGGACAGACACAGAATTGTTACTGAGGGACACAGAATTGTTACTCAGGGAACAGAATTGTTACGCAGGGACACAGAATTGTTACTCAGGGACACAGAACTGTTACTGGAGACTCAGGACCCAGTGTTTGGTTACTCAGGGACACAGAACTGTTACTCAGGGACACAGAATTGTTTACTCAGGGAACAGAATTGTTACTCAGAGGACACAGAATTGTTAACTGAGGGACACAGAATTGTTACTGAGGGACACAGAATTGTTACTCAGGGACACAGAATTGTTACTCAGGGACACAGAACTGTTACTCAGGGACACAGAATTGTTACTCAGGGACAGACACAGAATTGTTACTGAGGGACACAGAATTGTTACTGAGGGACACAGAATTGTTACTGAGGGACACAGAAATTGTTACTCAGGGACAGGACACAGAATTGTTAATGTTGGTACTGAGGGACACAGAATTGTTACTGAGGGACACAGAATTGTTACTCAGGGACAGACAGAGAAATTGTTTACTCAGGGACACAGAATCATTACTCAGGGTCACACAGAATCGTTGAATTAAAGGTTATGTCAGACAACACGCAGAGGAGTGGCAGAGGAGGCAATGTTCCAGGAGCGAGCAGACGTGGCAGCAGAGGAAGGGTCGAGGCAGCACTAGTCGCAGCCAGAGGCCAGTGCTCCAGTGTCATCCAGCGGTCGTGTCTCCACCGACAACCCTGCCGTCATCGATGTTTTGGCTCGGTCGTCTTCCTCTTCCCAGGTCACCTCTGACACCTACAGCCAACGGTCGGTGGGTACGTCAGACACAACCGTTAGTTGGCATGGCCTGGGAGCAAGCCCACTGAAATCACGTGTCCTCTCCCTGCCCCTGTCCTTTGGTGTTCCCTCACCAAGCGAAGTATCGCATGCTGTGGGCTCAGCCCCACTGTACTGTGAGGAAGAGCTAACAGAGGGCGGTCAGGAATGGGGGGAGACATCAGCCTTCAGCAGCCAGGCGAAGAAGTACTGGCGAGGAGAGTGGCTCGGTAGCCGGTCTAGAGACAGGTCTGTCTCCTGACCCAAACGCAGCCGAGGGGGCTAGTAGTGAGGCGGAGACCCTAATTGATGATGATGAGGCTGATCGCACTTGGCAGCCTCGTCGTTATCAGGGCTATTGCTTCCGCATCATCAGGAGAAGAGGGTGCCAGCTTGGCAGCGAGCAAAACAGTCGGTGGGTTGCCCAGGAGGCAGCAGGGTCGCAGCAGTGTCAGTGGAGGCAAACGGCCACGGAGTAGAGCACCAGCTCCACTGCAGCCTACCACCACGGCCAGTAGTGGTGCCGGTGTGCACGGAGGAAGTAGCAGTCAGCCAGTGAGGAGTAGCGGGGGCAAAGTTTCCTACTTGGCGGTGTGGCAATTTTTCGTCAAGCCGCCCGAGGAAGTAAACGTAGCCGTATGTCGACTATGTGGCCAGAAAGTCAAGCGTGGCCAGGGGGCCCATGTCTCCATCGCCACACTCTGCCATGTGCCACTTTCAGGTCTCCTCACACTGCTGGTGGGTCCCATTTTGTCAAAGGGTGCTGGCAGATTACGGGCCTCCCATTGCTGCTGCCAGGCCCGTAATCTGCCATGGGCCCCCGTACCGCCTCCTCATGCTGCTGCCAGGTCCAGAGTGTCTCATGGGTCCCTGTACGGCCTCCCACTGCTGCTGTCTCCATCGCCACACTCTGCAATGTGCCACTTTCAGGTCTCCTCACACTGATGGTGGGTTCCATTTTGTCATAGGGTGCTGGCAGATTACGGGCCTCCCATTGCTGCTGCCAGGCCCGTAAATCTGTCATGGGCCCCTGTACCGCCTCCTCATGCTGCTGCCAGGCCCGTAATGTGTCATGGTCCCTGTACGGCCTCCCATTGCTGCTGTCTCCATCGCCACACTCTGCCATGTGCCACTTTCAGGTCTCCTCACACTGCTGGTGGGTTCCATTTTGTCATTAGGGTGCTGGCAGATTACGGGCCTCCCATTGCTGCTGCCAGGCCCGTAATCTGTCATGGGCCCCTGTACCGCCTCCTCATGCTGCTGCCAGGCCCGTAATCTGTCATGGGTCCCTGTACGGCCTCCCATTGCTGCTGTCTCCATCGCCACACTCTGCCATGTGCCACTTTCAGGTCTCCTCACACTGCTGGTGGGTTTCCATTTTGTCATAGGGTGCTGGCAGATTACGGGCCTCCCATTGCTGCTGCCAGGCCCGTAATCTGCCATGGACCCCCGTACCGCATTCTCCTCATGCTGCTGCCAGGCCCGTAATCTGTCATGGGCCCCTGTACCGCCTCCTCATACTGCTGCCAGGCCCGTAATCTGTCATGGGTCCCTGTACGGCCTCCCATTGCTGCTGTCTCCATCGCCCACACTCTGCCATGTGCCACTTTCAGGTCTCCTCACACTGCTGTTAGTTTCCTTTTTTCCATAGGGTGCTGGCAGATTTTACGGGCCTCCCATTGCTGCTGCCAGGCCCGTAATCTGCCATGGGCCCCCGTACCACCTCCTCATGCTGCTGCCAGGTCCAGAGTGTCTCATGGGTCCCTGTACGGCCTCCCATTGCTGCTGTCTCCATCGCCACACTCTGCCATGTGCCACTTTCAGGTCTCCTCACACTGCTGGTGGGTTCCATTTTGTCATAGGGTGGCTGGCAGATTACGGGCCTCCCATTGCTGCTGCCAGGCCCGTAATCTGTCATGGGCCCCTGTACCGCCTCCTCATGCTGCTGCCAGGCCCGTAATCTGTCATGGGTCCTTGTACGGCCTCCCATTGCTGCTGTCTCCTTCCGCCACACTCTGCCATGTGCCACTTTCAGGTCTCCTCACACTGCTGGTGGGTTCCATTTTGTCATAGGGTGCTGGCAGATTACGGGCCTCCCATTGCTGCTGCCAGGCCCGTAATCTGTCATGGGCCCCTTACCGCCTCCTCATGCTGCTGCCAGGCCCGTAATCTGTCATGGGTCCCTGTACGGCCTCCCATTGCTGCTGTCTCCATCGCCACACTCTGCCATGTGCCACTTTCAGGTCTCCTCACACTGCTGGTGGGTTCCATTTTGTCATAGGGTGCTGGCAGATTACGGGCCTTCCATTGCTGCTGCCAGGCCCGTAATCCGCCATGGGCCCCTGTACCACCTCCTCATGCTGCTGCCAGGCTCGTAATCTGTCATGGGTCCCTGTACGGCCTCCCATTGCTGCTGTCTCCATCGCCACACTCTGCCATGTGCCACTTTCAGGTCTCCTCACACTGCTGGTGGGTCATTTTGTCATAGGGTGCTGGCAGATTACGGGCCTCCCATTGCTGCTGCCAGACCCCGTAATCTGTCATGGGCCCCGTACCGCCTCCTCATGCTGCTGCCAGGTCCCGTAGAGTCTCATGGGTCCCTGTACGGCCTCCCATTGCTGCTGTCTCCATCGCCACACTCTGCCATGTGCCACTTTCGGGTCTCCTCACACTGCTGGTGGGTTCCATTTTGTCATAGGGTGCTGGCAGATTACGGGCCTCCCATTGCTGCTGCTGCCAGGCCCGTAACCTGCCATGGGCCCCCGTACCGACTCCTCATGCTGCTGCCAGGCCCGTAATCTGTCATGGGCCCCTGTCATGTACCGCCTCCTCATGCTGCTGCCAGGTCCAGAGTCTCTCATGGGTCCCTGTACGGCCTCCCATTGCTGCTGTCTCCATCGCCACACTCTGCCATGTGCCACTTTCAGGTCTCCTCACACTGCTGGTGGGTTCCATTTTGTCATAGGGTGCTGGCAGATTACGGGCCTCCATTGCTGCTGCCAGGCCCGTAATCTGCCATGGGCCCCCGTACCGCCTCTCATGCTGCTGCCAGGTCCAGAGTGTCTCATGGGTCCCTGTACGGCCTCCAATTGCTGCTGTCTCCATCGCCACACTCTGCCATGTGCCACTTTCAGGTCTCCTCACACTGCTGGTGGGTTCCATTTTTGTCATAGGGTGCTGGCAGATTACGGGCCTCCCATTGCTGCTGCCAGGCCCGTAAATCTGCCATGGGCCCCCGTACCGACTCCCTCATGCTGCTGCCAGGCCCCGTAATCTGTCATGGGCCCCTGTACCACCTCCTCATGCTGCTGCCAGGCCCGTAATGTGTCATGGGTCCCTGTACGGCCTCCCATTGCTGCTGTCTCCATCGCCACACTCTGCCATGTGCCACTTTCAGGTCTCCTCACACTGCTGGTGGGGTTCCTTTTTGTCATAGGGTGCTGGCAGATTACGGGCCTCCATTGCTGCTGCCAGGCCCGTAATCTGTCATGGGCCCCTGTACCGCCTCCTCTCATGCTGCTGCCAGGCCCGTAATCTGTCATGGGTCCCTGTACGGCCTCCCATTGCTGCTGTCTCCATCGCCACACTCTGCCATGTGCCACTTTCAGGTCTCCTCACACTGCTGGTGGGTTCCATTTTGTCATAGGGTGCTGGCAGATTACGGGCCTCATCCCATTGCTGCTGCCAGGCCCGTAATCTGCCATGGACCCCCCGTACCGCCTCCTCATGCTGCTGCCAGGCCCGTAATCTGTCATGGCCCCTGTACCGCCTCCTCATGCTGCTGCCAGGCCCAGTAATCTGTCATGGGTCCCTGTACGGCCTCCCATTGCTGCTGTCTCCATCGCCACACTCTGCCATGTGCCACTTTCAGGTCTCCTCACACTGCTGTTAGTTTCCATTTTGTCATAGGGTGCTGGCAGATTACGGGCCTCCCATTGCTGCTGCCAGGCCCGTAATCTGCCATGGGCCCCCGTACCACCTCCTCATGCTGCTGCCAGGTCCAGAGTGTCTCATGGGTCCCTGTACGGCCTCCCATTGCTGCTGTCTCCATCGCCACACTCTGCCATGTGCCACTTTCAGGTCTCCTCACACTTGCTGGTGGGTTCCATTTTGTCATAGGGTGCTGGCAGATTACGGGCCTCCCATTGCTGCTGCCAGGCCCGTAATCTGTCATGGGCCCCTGTACCGCCTCCTCATGCTGCTGCCAGGTTCAGTAATCTGTCATGGGTCCCTGTACGGCCTCCCATTGCTGCTGTCTCCATCGCCACACTCTGCCATGTGCCACTTTCAGGTCTCCTCACACTGCTGGTGGGTTCCATTTTGTCATAGGGTGCTGGCAGATTACGGGCCTCCCATTGCTGCTGCCAGGCCCGTAATCTGCCATGGGCCCCCCGTACTGACTCCTCATGCTGCTGCCAGGCCCGTAATCTGTCATGGGCCCCTGTACCGCCTCCTCATGCTGCTGCCAGGTCCAGAGTGTGTCATGGGTCCCTGTACGGCCTCCATTGCTGCTGTCTCCATCGCCACACTCTGCCATGTGCCACTTTCAGGTCTCCTCACACTGCTGGTGGGTTCCATTTGTCATAGGGTGCTGGCAGATTACGGGCCTCCCATTGCTGCTGCCAGGCCCGTAATCTGTCCATGGGCCCCTGTACCGGCTCCTCATGCTGCTGCCAGGCCCGTAATCTGTCATGGGTCCCTGTACGGCCTCCCATTGCTGCTGTCTCCATCGCCACACTCTGCCATGTGCACTTTTCAGGTCTCCTCACACTGCTGGTGGGTTTCCATTTTGTCATAGGGTGCTGGCAGATTACGGGCCTCCCATTGCTGCTGCCAGGCCCGTAATCTGTCCATGGGCCCCTGTACCGCCTCCTCATGCTGCTGCCAGGCCCGTAATCTGTCATGGGTCCCCTGTACGGGCCTCCCATTGCTGCTGTCTCCATCGACACACTCTGCCATGTGCCACTTTCAGGTCTCCTCACACTGCTGGTGGATTCCATTTTGTCATAGGGTGGAGCTGCAGATTTACGGGCCTCCCATTGCTGCTGCCAGGCCCGTAATCCGCCATGGTCCCCTGTACCGCCTCCTCATGCTGCTGCCAGGCTCGTAATCTGTCATGGGTCCCTGTACGGCCCTCCCATTGCTGCTGTCCATCGCCACACTCTGCCATGTGCCACTTTCAGGTCTCCTCACACATGCTGGTGGGTTCCATTTTGTCATAGGGTGCTGGCAGATTACGGGCCTCCCATTGCTGCTGCCAGACCCGTAATCTGTCATTGGGCCCCGTACCGCCTCCTCATGCTGCTGCCAGGTCCAGAGTCTCATGGGTCCCTGTACGGCCTCCCATTGCTGCTGTCTCCATCGCCACACTCTGCCATGTGCCACTTTCAGGTCTCCTCACACTGCTGGTGGGTTCCATTTTGTCATAGGGTGCTGGCAGATTACGGGCCTCCCATTGCTGCTGCCAGGCCCGTAATCTGCCATGGGCCCCCGTACCGACTCCTCATGCTGCTGCCAGGCCCGTAATCTGTCATGGGCCCCTGTAACCACGCCTCCTCATGCTGCTGCCAGGTCCAGAGTCTCTCATGGGTCCCTGTACGGCCTCCCATTGCTGCTGTCTCCATCGCACACTCTTGCCATGTGCCACTTTCAGGTCTCCTCACACTGCTGGTGGGTTCCATTTTGTCATAGGGTGCTGGCAGATTACGGGCCTCCCATTGCTGCTGCCAGGCCCGTAATCTGCCATGGGCCCCCGTACCGACTCCTCATGCTGCTGCCAGGCCCGTAATCTGTCATGGGCCCCTGTACCGCCTCCTCATGCTGCTGCCAGGTCCAGAGTGTCTCATGGGTCCCTGTACGGCCTCCCATTGCTGCTGTCTCATCGCCACACTCTGCCATGTGCCACTTTCAGGTCTCCTCACACTGCTGGTGGGTTCCATTTTGTCATAGGGTGCTGGCAGATTACGGGCCTCCCATTGCTACTGCCAGGGTCGTAATCTGCCATGGGCCCCCCGTACCGCCTCCTCATGCTGCTGCCAGGTCCAGAGTGTCTCATGGGTCCCTGTACGGCCTCCAATTGCTGCTGTCTCCATCGCCACACTCTGCCATGTGCCACTTTCAGGTCTCCTCACACTGCTGGTGGGTTCCATTTTGTCATAGGGTGCTGGCAGATTACGGGCCTCCCATTGCTGCTGCCAGGCCCGTAATCTGCCATGGGCCCCGTACCGACTCCTCATGCTGCTGCCAGGCCCGTAATCTGTCATGGGCCCCTGTACCGCCTCCTCATGCTGCTGCCAGGTCCAGAGTGTCTCATGGGTCCCTGTACGGCCTCCCATTGCTGCTGTCTCCATCGCCACACTCTGCCATGTGCCACTTTCAGGTCTCCTCACACTGCTGGTGGGTTCCATTTTTGTCATAGGGTGCTGTATGGCCTCCCATTGCTGCTGCCTCCACCGCCACACTGTGGCTCCACACTCTGGTTTTTTTTTTATATATATATACGGCCCCGTGACTGCCCAAATGAGTGAAGTGTGCGGTGATTCTAAGATCGACGGCACTCATCTGCATGTCATACTGACTGACAGTATTATTTCTCTTCCCCAGCAGACTCCAAGGGCATTTAAATTAAAGGTACAGTGTTCTGCACTAATATAAAGGCTCTCTGAAGCCTAGAAACACCCTTTTTATAAGTTAAATTCGCAGCGAATATATTCGCATCGAATCGAATTTATTCCTCGAATTCGCCAAATCAGCCGAATTGAATTTTTGAATACTTCGCTCATCTCTAATCAGAACCTCAGTTTGGCAAGTAAGCAGTGGCTGAGATTTTGGAGGAGGAGTGAGAAAGATACAGAGGTAATTCCAAAAATTAACTTTATAAGGTTAATTTAATTAAGGCAAATAAGTTGTTCACTTTGCAAAGGAAGGTACAGTTTGCAAGATAATTTTTATCAGAGCACAGTGAATGTGGTAAACTTGCAATTTGCAAAAAATAACCAATCAATGCAAGGAAAATAGGAGAGACAGCATTAGTAAATGGGCTTCATCTCACTCACTAAGCTCTGTGGAAGCTGACCTTGCAGGGTGCATCTTAAAACAGAAGTATGGCTTTTTAAAAAAATTGTACTCACCTAGATGGCTGAAACTCAAACACCACTGATCGCTCTCAGTCTTCAGCCTGAAGAGAGCTGCTGACCGTCAGTCAGTCACTGGCTCTCTGCTCTGCCCCTCAAGTGTTCAGTGGGCTGTGGAGAGGACGGGAGCTCAGAGGCTGAGTCAGCTGCCGGTCCAGGATTCTGGGCGAATCCCAACCATATGGTCAGGATATTTTCAGAACCTGGACCGGGTCTGTGATGTCAGATGACAGCTTTAGCCCACTGTCAGCTGAAAACAGTCACAGGAGAGCAGAACTAATTGCCCTCCTGTGATTCATAGGAGAGGTATAGCCAAAGAAGTCCCCTGTGAATAAAATATATAACATTGAACTTGAACATGTTTGACCATCATTTCTGAAATCCTTAAAAAGAAAAAAGAAACAAGCTGTTTATAATTGTGATTAGTAGACATTGACAACCCAAAGCTGAATAGTTGTTTGTATATCCTTGTGTCAAAGCCTCAGTGAACCTTTATTCCAAGATACATTATAAAATTTGTACACTGAATGATATTGAAATCTGAAGCTGTAATTTAGGTCTATTGAACACTACAAGTTAGGTTTTTATTTTTACTTACAGAGTCTAACAAATGATACAATTATGATTTCCGAGTACACTTGAAGGGATGGCCTCATTTGCATTTTCATGGAAACGCAATTATGTTGCCTAATTGGGATAGTAGAAATTATAAAACTATATAATTGATGCTTGTCTTTTCTCATGTAAAGATCATTACCGTTGAGAGTTTTTTGTGACACTTAGAAAATACATCATCATAGTGTTTGTATGACATTCAATTTTCTGCATCTGTAATTTGAAACCACTAGGACTTTATTTAACAAAATATCCATGTGGAACCATTTGAACCTGCTAAAAATTATACCAAAGGAAAAATGTAGATCTGACATTTGTTTTCTAGAAACACCATTTCGCTATTTCACAAATAAATATATATTTCAGCTTTCAATATTCCTTTGAGATTTTTCTGTCCTTCTTGAACTTAGTTTACAGTTAATATATTATTAGTTTTTTATAACCGTGTTTACCTTGGTTAATTTATTTTTTTGTTTTTAATTATATCATACTTTTTTTATGTTAAATAAGGATCCTTTCTTAATGCAAAGAGTTTGGTATGTGAATGGTAAATGTATTTATACACACTGATCACACGTACGCTTCAAGACAAGCTTTATCCATTTGTATTTATCTGTTATATACATTAAAATGTTTGTAAAACCTACTGTAAAACAAGAATACCCATATAATGATTCATAATAATAACAATCGTAATATTTTCCCATGCCTTCCCTTTTATTAGTAGTTTCAACAAGTAATCATCAAATATCTGATTAAGTGTATATATGGTCAAAATGTAAAATCATATACCGTATTTGCCGGCGTATAAGACGACTGGGGGTATAAGACGACCCCCCTACTTTTCCTGCTAAAATGTAGTGTTTGGGCTATACTCGCCGTATAAGACTACCCCTCTTCCAATGCACACCAGTGGGAGGAATAGTGCCCCATCATTGATGTCAGTGGGAGGAATAGTGCCCCATCATTGGTGTCAGTGGGAGGAATAGTGCCCCATCATTGGTATCAGTGGGGGGAATAGGTGCCCCATCATTGGTATCAGTGGCAGGAATGGTTCCCCATCATTGGTATCAGTGGCAGGAATAGTGCCCCATCATTGGTGTCAGTGGGAGGAATGGTGTCCCATCATTGGTGTCAGTGAGGGGTGGAATAGTGCCCCATCATTGGTGTCAGTGGGGGGTGGAATAGTGCCCCATCGTTGGTGTCAGTGGGGGGGGGGGGAATAGTGCCCCATCGTTGGTGTCAGTGGGGGGGAGGAATAGTGCCCCATCGTTGGTGTCAGTGGGAGGAAATAGTGCCCCATCATTGGTATCAGTGGGAGGAATAGTGCCCCATCGTTGGTATCAGTGGGAGGAAAAGTGCCCCATCATTGGTATCAGTGGGAGGAATAGTGCCCCATCGTTGGTATCAGTGGGAGGAATAGTGCCCCATCGTTGTGTCAGTGGGGGAGGAATAGTGCCCCATCATTGGTATCAGTGACACCAATGATGGGGCACTATTCCTCCCACTGAGACTTGCTGACCCTGTTCTCGTATGGTGCTGCTGCAGCCAGCATATGTGGTTGCAGCAGCACCTCTACACAGAACACTTACCTGCTGCTCCGGCACTCAATTTTCGCGGGGCCGCTCGGCTCTGCCCCCTCGCTGGTGATTGGCCGCCTGTGTGCCTTTCCTGAGCTACAGTTCTGGCGGCCAATCACCGGTGAGGAGGCGGAGCCGAGCAGCCGCACGAACATCCAGTGGCCGAACTGAAGGAGACGCCGCGCTTCCTGGACCGGATCGTCGTGGGACTGGATCCAGGTAAGAGACATCAGCCCCTGCAAACCCCTGTACTTAATGCCGCAGCCCCCCTAACATGTGTACCGGCGTATAAGACGACCCCCGACTTTTGAGAAGATTTTCAAGGGTCAAAAAAAGTCGTCTTATACGCCGGCAAATACGGTAATTATTATTGCATTGCATTTAAATTATTCCTAGCCTACTCCAATTAATCTGAATGATATTGAAGTTTGTAAGCTTACTTTGTGAGTATCCCCACGCATAACTTCCTTAAATTCTGTGACACGCATTCACTATGCCCTATGAGTAGGCACTGCTGTGTCACACATTTCACAGAGCCTGCCTACTGAACTACAGAGATGCTGAGAGGAGGAGTTTCAGGATGGGGAGTCAGTACAAGAATCACTGATTACAGACAGCAAGGTATCATGGGATATGTAGTCCTTAGAAATTGATAGTAAACAGCAGAGGAGAACCTGTAAAGCAGGCAGGAAATCCAGGAAGTTGTGGAAAGAAATGATCAGCAGAAAGGAAGAACTCACAACATGAAAGGGGATTTTTGAAGTATGCTTTTAATGGATTGTCAAAATAACTATTGTTTTTATTACAGCCACAATTCTGATGTTAAAGAATGAAAGTATACTCTATGTTTATGACCATAGATGTCCTTTTATTCCTGCTAGCAGCACGAGCTTAGCGGATCAGCATGACAATAAAAGACACAAGGGTTGATTTACAAAAACTGGAGCATGCAAAATCTGGTGCAGCTCTTCAAAAAAACCAATCAGCTTCCAGGTTTTATTGTTAACGCTTAACTGAACAAACTGAAGAAGATAATTGGCTACCATGCACAGCTGCACCAGATTTTGCACTCTTCAGTTTTAGTAAAATCAAACCCACAAATGTGCATTTTGGTTTAGTATTGTCATGCCATCCTGCATTTTCCTACATCACTACAAATAAACAGCATGCCAACAATATCCTGTGCATTGTTGTAGTCAGAAGCCTGTAATTGGACAGACAGCCATGCCTCCCAACCCA